TGTATGGATGCGTACATTACGACCTCCAGGCAGTTCCGTACATACGGGACGACATGCAACAGAGTAGCTGTATAGCACGGTGCCCCTGGCTGCGAGATTCTTCTATACGATCCACTCAGTGATCCCCGCCGCGCAAGCGCAGACAGTCAGTCAGCGGTCGCGTCCCCTTCGGCAATATCCCAACAGAGGGCGCTCCTCGAGCGGTATAACCGTGGCAGACTCGCGCCGTAATCCCATATCGCGCGCGGTGCGGATGTTTTACGAGCCGCAGCCGAGCGCAACGGCTTCACCTGGTGCACGCATGCGCGGACTCTCGGCGAATCCCTTTGAAGCCCTAACGTACGGCCCATTACCGCGGCACGCATCGCGCCAGTGTAATATACATACGTTGCAGCCTATAGCGGTGAATTCTACTTCGCTCCGTGCCGTAAAGAACGGCGTGTGACAACCGCGAGCAATGCTCGAACAGGGTGCGTTCGCGCTTCCTACGGCGCGAATTAACGAGCGAATGGCTGTCGCCGCGTATTTTACCATCGGGAACGGCCGCGTTAGAAGATTTTCGCAGTGCTGTTACAGAGAAGATGACTATCCTTTTGTTTCGAGCGTGTCAGGAAGCGTTAAATAGGCATGTGTTGCGGTATTGGCTCCTGTCTGTGAGATATGCTCAAACGCGGAGATGGGCAGCTGTTGGGCAGGTGTGATGGGTAGGCATTCCCTTCGCCTGTTTCTCTTTCGACTTCGTCATACTCCGAACAAGATTGGTTAGTCCTGAAGTGGCGTAAGGTAGAGCTCGTGCTTGCATCACTCTTTAAGCCAAGAGGAGCAGTCAGTGGAAAGTTTTTTTTTTTTTCCTCATCTGGGGCATTGCTTTCGGATCTTGTTTCTGCATGACCTCCGTTCAAAGACCCGGCATGTGGAAGTGATTGACACATAGCGTAGGCTGCGTCACTTTTTACTCGTACCTTTTGGATGCTGTGTGAAAGAGATAGACGAGAGAGGGGAACGGGGAAGGTGTGTTGCTGTTGAAGAACCTGCCGAACAGCCCAGCTTTTTCCAGACACACCTCAATCAAGGCGTATATAGGGCGAATTCAGCCATCGCCCCTCTCTTATCCTCGTTACGCGCTGCTGGCTTGTCCCTCAAACGGGACCGAGCAAAGGAAACAAAGAGGTGGCGTGGATAACCGGTACTGTGGGATCGTTTGGCCATGCGGCTCATGGCGGACTGACTTCGCGGCTTTGCACGCTCGATGAGCACGCTTCGTCAGCTTTGCCACAGTTCTCAACCGCTTTAAGCGTAACACCGGAGGCCGGTGTGGCGGTTTCGTCACTGATCATCGGCCGGCATTGCCTTTTCTGCTCGACCAATGCGAGAGGTGCGGGGGGTCCGCGAAATCGTGAAAACGTGTCGTGTAACAACAACAAAAAAATAATAATGCTGCTCGCGCGGACAGATCGCAGAGGTGTGGCATCGTCGGCTCAGGGGTGGCCGGTCCTGTGTACAAGGCGCTCGAAGCTTCAAACAGAAGGCCTCGCTATGCGTTATAGCGTTTATTTTTGGTGACGGCGAACGAAGAGGGGCGGAGGGGAAGGGACCTCGGTCCTTTCATTCGGGCGTCTACTGAGCGTGGCTAGACGTCGGCTCCACGGTCGACGCCGTTGCCGCTGCGCTCCCTTTGCGCTCATAATCAGGCGGAACAACCCTCCCTGTGTAGCTCTTATTTCTCTCCCGTTTCCCTCTCGCGTTACCCACCCGCCTTTCCCCGCGATTCCCCACGATTCCTTCGGGACTCGCAGCAATATATGCCCTTCCCGTTTTCTCTTTCCTCTCTATCTGTCTCGTACGAAGCCAACGAACGCTGCCGTATTCACGCGATTCGCAGGGAGGGGAAAGCCGCGATTCGATATAGCCGATTGCGCCCCGGGCGCTCCCCCTTCTCTGAATTCAGTGGAGATGGTGTGTGCCGAATTTCGCAGATGTGCCCGCGCGCGGCCGGCCCTGCGTACGTCACCCTCTCCCATCGTCCCTCTGTCTACCCACCCATTCTCTCCCTCTTTCCCATGTACATCCTCGATTTGACTCCATGGCTTGACTTCACGCTGGGCTACGCGCAGACACCAAACTGACTCATTTTTTTGTTTCTTTTTCTTCCACACTTTATGTCCTCTTTTTTTCCATCACGTTCATCGTTAACGTTTCCTTCTTCTCCCTGCCTCATTTTTGCTGCTTATAACGCGAAGCCACCGCGTGTAACACTGCAGTGAACGCACCTCTGTACACGCGCTATCCCATGTATACCGGGGGTTCGTACACAGCAGCATCTGTTCGGGCCGTGCCGCTGTGTCTGATATGAGACATTCAGGCACTTCCTGCTGCAACGCTCGCTTTTTCTGCGGCTTTCTCTTTTGTTGTTAGATCATGACTTGTGCGGGCCGCGCGGCTTTATGCTCCGTTCGGTTACAGCTATACCGTCCTGAACTATCTTTTTTTCTCTTTTTTTTTTCTGGCGCACCATTTAGGCGCGTCCAATTTTCTATTTACGGCCCATCTCTCCGCGAAGCATCTTTCTATGCGCGCTACACGCATAATATGCGCTCCCGTATCCAAATCCAAAGCCGAACAGAACCGTGGCAGAGACGATCCCCTCTTATCCGCGCTCCCATCGTATCCAGCGTATTGTCTCCTCGCGTTAAGCACCCGGTTTTCCCAGCGTTTTGTTGCCGAACGACGTGCATGTTTCTCTCGGTATATAGGTGTTGCCTGATCGTCATTTTACTATTTTTCTCAGTTAAGCTTACTTGTACTCAACCTCTCTTCTCTCGAAGCTTTCAGTATATGCCGTGCAGGTTTCGAAAATTATGCTCGCTTATCTGCATACAGAGACTGATTCCTTTCCTCCTCGTTCACACCAATGCGAGCTCGGAATCTGCGCAGATGCGGCGAGACCCGCAAATCCGTTTGGAGACGCTTCAAGCGTCATTCGGACACGGCATGAGGCGCCGTGGCATGCCCAACTGGATTTCTTCGCTGCGCAGCCTCCCGGTGTTTGCGACGCTATTCCAGAGTCGTTCGGTTGCGCGAATTCGAGACTCGTCGTAGAAGGACTCTTTCTTTCCGGTTGATTTGGGCGAATCGCGCGTCGACGTCGTCCCGTGGGGTAATCGCGCATCTGCGCTGGTTCCTTGTCATGGTCTTGGTTTCGCGATTACGCGTGGGGTTCCGACGTAGGAGACGAGCGAGAAGACGGCTCGCCGATCCCGCCTCCCCATCCGCTTTTGTTGCAGGTCGTTATCCGCGTGATTGGATACGTTCAACGCTTCCTTGTACACGCCCGTTGATAAATAAAGGGAAGAGTACTCTCAGACGTCTCCCTGCGTGGACTTGGAGCGTGGTTAATCTCTCGTTAATAGACGATAGACGTACGCATTCCAAGATGGTCGCCTCTTATACGGCCTATAAAGTAGAGATTTATTTGAAGCTGCCTCCATATAAGATGTGCCGTTTACTCGTGCGACATGGATTGCATACGCGTCCTGACTGGAGAGCTATAAGTTTCGGCTGACTTAAACTAAAATATCATCAATACGCGTGCTCTGAGCAGTTTAAATTCAATTGAATCAAATTTATTGGCGATGTGACCAGTCAACAAAACTGCAAGAAGCAACTTGAAGTGTAACACTGAGGTTTAGCCTTGTTTAAGTTTCTTTGTTTTCATGGCCGATGATCTTAAGAATGTGCATGTATTATAAACCGATCAAACGTCGTTCGTTTGCTCTTCAGCAAAAAAAAAAAACCCTTATACGCACGTCAAACTGTAATATAGAGTGTTCAAGAAATTCAATAATGATGGCAGTGAGGCAGTTATAACAGTCGTACGCCAATTTCGCATGACTGCGTTATAATTTCGCATAACTACAGTTTATAATTCTACAATACGCCACGAAAAGTTGCATCACTTTAAAACAGTGTATACCACGTGAACACTTACTTTATCTTCTCGGAAGCGAGTAGTTGCGTATATATCGGCGTCCACTCGTTTGCAGCACAGCCACAAGGCAGTATACATGCGAATTTCTCAGAGTCTAGTCTTCTTTAGTCGATTAAATATTCGTAGATGGTACGGGGATTGAAGCTGGGACCAACCTCTTTCCCGGGGCGGTTGTTCTAACGGTTCAGCTAACCAGAAAGCTTTTAATTGCCAGCACGATGGCGAGATTACTTGCGATGCTACTTTACAATATTCAGTATGCATGTGCTTCCGAGTTCCCGACCCACTCACCCTCGTGCCGTAGGCAACAGCCTTAAAGGGTCCCTGCAACACTTCTTGAGCATGGTCAGAAAACGCAGCCGATCGGTATACCAGAGGCTCCCGACAACACATGAGCCAAATATTATAGAGCAGCGCGCGGCCGGAAATTCAGAATAAATTATCAAAGTCAGCTAAAAATTGCATACTCTCCTCTCGACAAATCACGGAATAAGCCCAAAAAATAAATCGTAGCAAGTCCATCTATCAGCCATTGGCTGATTTGCACATGGTGCGCTCGGTTGTTACAGGGATCGCCGCGGGAGGCCGCTACTTGTCCACGCGTGCGTGCACGATCACTCTAATAAAGCCGTGCATTCGAAGGAAGAAAGAAAAACGTGCTCAAGGTCACGAAACGCGCGTGACGTTTTTCTTTGCGCCTGCCACCCCTCCATGCTTAGCTTCCAGCGCTTTCGTCGGGACGAGAGAAAAGAGAATGCAATCGTAGCATGCGACGAATCTTTGTAACTCTACTCGCACTAGATGGATTTTATAAAATTTTTGCGCCGTTCAATTCATGTTGCAATAAGCTCTTGCAGAGAGTTCATTCCATATTTTCTTGAAAAAGTGTTTCAGGGCCCCTTTAAAAGAAACGATCTAAGCATGCGCTCTTTCTAGTTGTTCGTCATGTCATTATATCTCACGAGAAAGAGCTGTTGCAAGCACGTACATGGCACGGACAGAGTGCACTAACCTCCGAGGATGCCGTCGATGCTGTGGTCCGCCTTCTTGGCGCATTCGCCGTCGCTGCCGCCGCGTTGCAGCGAATCGTCGGGGCTTCCAGTGTACCGGCTTCCCCGCAGCACACGGCTGATGGAGCTCACGCTCGGGACAGACGTCTTGTCGCACACGCCATCCTGCGGTAGTGACGGATTGATTTGATTGATATGTTGGGTTTAACGTCCCAAAACCACCATACGATTATGAGAGACGCCGTAGTGGAGGGCTCCGGAGGTTTCGACCACCTGGAGTTCTTTAACATGCACCCAAATCTGAGCACACGGGCCTACAACATTTCCGCCTCCATCGGAAATGCAGCCGCCGCAGCCGGGATTCGAACCCGCGACCTGCGGTTCAGCAGCCGAGTACCTTAGCCACTAGACCACCGAGGCGGGGCTGCGGTAGTGACCGAGCTAAGCTGTTTCACGCGAACTCAAGCTCGCGTAAAGGTAACGAGATTATCACGGAACGGTAACACTATGCGGCACACCTAATCGCATCACGTAATCCTGAAGTTACGCCTGCGACAGTGGGCGCTTAATTAATCGCAACACGGACTGTTATATTTTTCATCTCCCTGTTTGGAATAACCGACGCTGCCGGCTTTCAGAACGTACATCAAGCGATTTGCGTCACTGCTGATATTTTCATAAACAGATAAGGAAAAATTACTAACGGAAATTGCGAATGCAAATGTCACAGAATATAGATAAAGCATTAAGTTCTTAAGGGAACTATGCGGGAAATTCAGTCCAGTGCGTTTCATTTGCTGTTCACCGGAAAGTTTCGGAGAGCTTCGTGCAAGTGATCAGATTTTAGTATTTCCTCAGTTTCTATTTGTAATTGGTAGACGTTATCAATTGTACCTCTCATCAAAATAGGTGCAGTTGTAATCGTTGACATTCCATATGTAATTTATACCAACAGCACAATGTGTTCTCCTATAATATATCTATCTATCTATCTATATATATATATATATATATATATATATATATATATATATATATATATATATATATATATATATATATATATATATATATATATATATATATATATATATATATATATATATATATATATATATATATATATATATATATATATATGTTTGTGTGTGTGTGTGTTAATTTTTGCTTCGAGTAAGACGGGCCAAACGGTGCTACATCTTTTCCTTTCTTTATTGTTTAGTTATTGATTGCTCACCCATGTTTCAGAAGACAACATATATGAATCCATGCATGTTCGCGAAAATTTTATGGTTCTGCCAGGAATAGTACAGTCAACTTTGTTGAGGATGATTGTAATAAATCGCAGTGAAGCCACGTGAGATAAGCATTAGGCTCGACAACGACGCGAAAGTATATACACGCGAGATATATAAACCTGGGGTGAATCGGGAGGGAAAATTTTGAATCAACGCGGGACATGACGAAAGCATACACGCGCGGGACAGCACTCTGCTTGTGTGCTCTGTCTAACGGGAGTGCTTCCGTGTAGCTTTCAGTGTAAATATGAAAGTGTCGTATGCAGTATACTGTATACTATACGTATAGCAAGGTGCCGTAGTACTCACACGTACCTTGATGAGCCGGTCGCGTATCTCCCAGGAGAAGATGCTCGGGTTTTCCTTCTTGTACTGCTCGATCCTCTGCTCCACGTCGGGCGTCGCCACGCGGGGCTTGCTGCCACCGATCACTCCGGGACGGATGCTGCCAGTTTCCTGCGTCACGTGGTTCGCATTTAGCCTGCTAATGTTGCTCTAGATGTACACAGAACTATAAAAATCCTGATATAGAGAATTGTTGGTTATAGCGAGCTACTATAATGCGAACTTTGGTTGATCACACGCTTCATTTGAGTAATATTTATTCATTTCATGACGTAAAAAAGAAACGCGAAAGCCGCAGCAATGTTGGGTGCAACGAAAAAAAATATATATATTATGAAGTCTTGGTAGTCTTGGCTACCTAAGTATATGCCCACAATATACTTGGTTCGCAGGAGGATCTATGTCCGAAAGAAGGCATAAAAGTAAGACAAACATCGAAATAGAATTCGCAATCACATTTTAAAAACGCATTCTCAGCAAAATTCTTTTGAGAAATAAATACCAACGCAGGCCAGTGTTGTCCAACGAACTTTTTTTTTTTCGCGCAGTTTGCCTTTTTAATGTCCCGGTCTAGTGCGAAGTTACACAGAAGACACGTAAAGGTTTATCTTAAATATATCGCGTAAAAAAAAAAACCGATTTGCTAGAGCTGATATGTATCTTGACTGTTACAACGAAAATCAGATACAACGAACTCAGTTAATGCTAGTGTGCTACTTTCTGTCGAGGCTCGACAGTATATATCAACTGCCGTCTACCGAGTTCCGTAGCCCCGAGGAGGCATGCTGCACGTAATGGCAAACAGGTATAATTTTGGCTACATGGCTTTTTCTTCAAAAGAGGTGACTGTTGGGGCCCTCACTATGGTTTCTATGGCCTTCCTTGCGGAGAATTTGGCCTCTGTGAACCGATAATGTCCATTTAAGCTCCATAAAAGGAGAAACAGCATACCCTTTTTATATAGATTTGTAAAGCTATATCTTTCCTGCTGTATTCAAACGCAGTTTGCTTGCGCTATAACGAGGGTAAATGTATGGACTCGGCTCTTTTGACATAAACACACATAGACGAACTGGCTTGCTTCCACTTGAAACACGACAGGTGCCGCCATTAGTTGGACGAATATGTAGCGCATGCATAGACACGTACTTGTGGATTATGACAAAGGTTTGCTATACTATTTAGTGTTACTATTCTTAGAGTCTCCGATTGGCTCACCGTTGTACTGCTATCAGCAATAACCTTGATTCATTGATATGTGGGGTTTAACGTCCCAAAACCTCCATGATTATAAGAGACGCTGTAGTGGAGGGCTCCGGGAATTTCGACCACCTGCATGGGGTCCCTTAACGTGCGCTTATATCTAAGCACAATGGGCCTACAGCATTTTCGCTTCCATCGAAAATGCAGCCGCCGCAACCGGGAGCTATAGCCTTCACGTGTAGCTCATGTGTGGCACAACCGCCTAATTTATGCACTGGCCCGGGTAGGAATGACAAAGGAGGAAATATTCTTCGTCAATATAGAAGATTATCAGAAGAATAAGCGTTTGGGCTGGTTGCTTAATGAGTATATACACGTGTATGCCTTATAACCCGTACAATACAGCGCCTTCTATTCTATCCCCGGCTTGCTTGCTGGATTCCGTGCCGACCAATTGTGCCCTCGCGATCTCCGGCGTCAGCGTAGCTCTGGCCGACTGGGCTCGCCCTACGTCACCTCCTGACGCCGACGACCTTCGACGACAGTGTAGCTCTGACCGACTGGACTTGCTCTATATACGCCATCTACTGACGCCAACAAGAGCTCTCGCAAGTGGTGCCCCGTGCTCGGACTCCTGTGACCGTGTTTCCATCTTTCGTATCTCTCCTATCCCCTCAGTTTGTTGTCGCTCCTCCTGGCTTACCACCTCACGTCTCTTCCTCTTTTCTATACCTTTACTCCTACCCCTTTTATTCCTCCTCATCCCCATCTCTTGTGAGCTACTGTTGAGGTGTCGCTCACTGAAGCAGACAGTTACGGGGCTCACTTTTCTCTTCCTTTCTCTCTTAAGAATCACCTTCTCTATTCTATCCCCTTTACGGTGTTCATTCGGCAGCCAATCGTTACGGTTTAGATTAAGCTTTTACTTTACGTGTTATAACACAAGAATCTGGTATAATGACATTCACGGTGTAGCACTTCAGAATTGTGGTAAAAGAAAAAAAAGTGGTCTGTACACTCACCTGGTAGCGGTTGAGAATCTTGGAGACGCAGCCGTGCGATACCCTTAGTTGCCGTGATATCACGCAAGGCCTAACGCCGGCAGCGGCCATCTCGACGATCTTGAGCCGAATGTGGTTGGGCAGCGGCCGGCCGTTGATGAACACGCCGCCCAGTTGATTCACGCGTCCCTGACCTGTACCGATGAGAGTGTGCAAAAGGATAAGCGCTAATGGTCTTCCTATCTGTTGAATTAAAATTTTATCGCTTGGTTTAGGTCTTGTTTATGGTACTGTCGACATGGATGTAACTGTTTCATATAGCTTCGGTAATTAAAAGTACTTTCAGCAAAACCCCTGCGCATGTTGAATCGGTACGTGTAATCGTGAGTTATTCTAAAGGATGAGCGTAAAGCTTTTTTTTTTTTCTTCAAACGAGTGCCACAGGCAGATCATAAAATGTGTAAAGGTGAAATATGTGCGTGAATCGGGGAAGATTAAGGATACATTGACAAGGTTGCCAAACTGTCAAGACCGTAAAAGAAGTAACCAGTATACTGCTATGCACAAAGTGCGGGCATGCGCTGCAGCGGCACTATTACGAAAGTAAAGTTTAATGGTCTTCCTTTTATTACGGGTGCTATCGTACCTGTTGGGTATGATATAAAACGGTTGCCTAAAGACGGTGAATTTACTCCTTGGAGTGTAGCATAAAGTATTACACTACTGCTGACACCAACATAACTGTGGTGTCCTCATCAGTGCACGTTTAAAACCAGATTCTGTTTAAACCATGGCGGGCTTCAAATAAGCTTAGGCTTGAATAATCTCTCTGAACTACGAAGCTACAACCTGCTTTTATAGCGATCCTTTCTAATGCTCTCTCTCTCTCTCTCTCTCTCTCTCTGCGAAGATTTCAGGAAGGGGCGCTTCACAGGACACCAATGGAATGAGCGCTACTTTTTGCATACGGAAGTTGTGCGCCTAAAGTCTACACTCAGCTGATGCCAATGATGATGTCTGCTATAGGAGTTCGCGCCTAACAGCTAGATCTCGTGTCATTAGCTTAGCAAGGTCGTTTGGCCAATGGCGCTTTATTTTGAGACGTTATGAGGCACATATCAAGTGCCCCTGATTGTATGTACCGCGTTCTCCTGCGCAGCGAGCGCCCTCACGAGGCAGATGGGAACACTATACGGGAGAGCAGTGCGCGGTCGCTGAACCGGTCTCTGGGTCGCGTGCGAGCGGGCGCCTCGCACGCTGACATACCGGCGGTATTTATCAAACGGCTACGTTCGCTTTCTTGAGATCATCAATCTGAGCTGATGCTCCCACGTGGTGGTTGCACGGGTATTCGCTGCCGCGCTCGCTTCCATACGGCATTATATGGATTCGCACATTCGCAGACTAAGACTGTCACAATAGCCGGAGGAGAAACAAAGAACAGTGCACGCATGGCTGTTCGCTGCCATCCTTGCTTCCATGTAGCATATATATGTAACTCATACAATCGCAGGGTGTAGTTGTGACAATAAATAAGAGACTGACAGAAAAAAAAAACAGTCACAATAAGCGGATGACAGACAAGAACAGCGACAATAATCGGAGAATAGACAAAAGCAGAGACGGTTCCGACTGGCACGTTTGCCCCCTTTCGATGGTTTCGAAATTCTCTCTCGGGTTGCCCGGTGGGATGCCGTCGATATTTCTCCGGCACCTCTACGTCGATGTTTCGCCGCAGCGCACTCTGCATGGTAAGGTGTTACGAGACGCGTTTCGCGTTTGGTTTGTTTGTCTGCTTTCAAGCTGCCGTTGAGCTCCTCGAGGTGGCGCATTTATCACGACGCAACTCCTACGGCGGCGATGTTTTTTTTTTTGTTTATTTATGACGACTACGACAGTGCTGTGCATGGGTGCTTTTAAATTGCCATTTTCGAGCCTCGTCATCACTGTGTGATGCGCTTCTTCCGCCGGCATTGCTGACTTCCTGGTTCGCCTGTTCAGTCACTCAAAGACACTTGCGTCGATTATCAGGATCAGCGTAAGAGTCATGGGGCCTATACGTGCAGTCTGTCTTCTTCACCGTATATATACACCCCAGCGTTCGTATACATACTTATTTGAGGTATATACGGCTTCCGAACGAGCTAGATGTCGTATGATCTCGTACACCGTGTTATATAGCTCAACCCCGGAGACCAAATTGGTAGAGGAAGGGAATCGGAATGCACCACAGACGCTTTCTAGCGCGGTTAAGTAATTCTACAGAATTCTCGATTACGTAAGCACGGGGGAGCTCGGCTGAGTGTATAGTTCTGAAGCGAAACTAACCGAGGCATAATTTCGTATAACTGAGGAGGAGAGGAACCCCGGTCTGACACACGGTGGTCTAGGTGATCATCTTGAGATACAAAGAAAATGAATTATAATTTTGATGCTCTAATTTGAATTCGAGTGACATGTCTGTTTTCGGGTCGTGACGGGCACTTCGCTTTTACACGCAGGGAAGCTTTTACAGCAATGCCAATTACAAGGTCGGCCCAGCGTCGTAGACAGAGTGTTAACATCATCATGAATTCGCACGTGCTGTCTCCTTCGTCGTCGTCTTCTGCTTCCTCTTCACCTCCGCTCCCAAAGGGCGCAAACACATTTCTCAGCAGTAAGGATTTGACAGATTTCTGTGGCACGTATACGTTATATCCCACGGACGTTTTTGGTTGATAAGTGATGTTTTTTTACAGCACCCTTGTTACGCTCGAGGTTGGCCGTATATTGTAGGAAGAAAATCGTCGTAATAGTGAGCCGGTACCCGCTCCTCCATTATCGTCTTCTGCCTTGCTCCCAGAACACCTGCGCCCAGCGTGGTATGCAATAACTCTGCTGGGTGAGATAATTAGCCCATAGAGACATAGAAAAAGAAGTAAATAGATAGAGACAAAAATTAGTTAAAGGCAGAGAAAATGAAGAGAAATTCTTGACGAAAAAAAAGTCTTGGTGAGGGCAAGCATGGCATCGTATAGTGTAGTATATTAAGGAGTGCGAAAGAGAAAAGTGAGATGGAAGAAATCTAGCCAAGCCAGAACCAACTGTGTGCACACCAGCACTGCTGTTACTCAGCGACTTAATGTAAGATACGCTATTTTTATTACCTTTTTTTATATTTGCTGAAGATAGTTACTATAGTTGGCGCTTGTCCTGTGCTGTGTGTGTTCATCTCTGTCTCGCACGTAATTTGTGCTCGGCAATTCGAAATAATCTCTTTACTCTCTCTGTACTGTACTTTCCATCTTCAAATTTTTCTTACCCCTTTGCGACGCTGTGCCGCTGCTCTGTGGTGGGTTGCACGAGTGAGCATCTTGCCTCACCTCAAACAACTATCATCACGAAAAACCTATATAAAGTGCTCTTCAGGGCACAGCTTTGGCACATGGTCGAAAAACTCCCTCGGGACTACTTCAGTCGAACTGCCTCACTCGAACCTGGATATACCAAATCTGAAGGGGTTCACAAAAGAGGCATGCATATGAAGGAAATCCGACGTATACATCACGTGTACAAAATATATTCGAGAGGATTGAACAAGTGTTAGATATACCTTGTGATGGTCTCAACTGTTCTATCGCAAGGACAACCTACACCCCCCCCCCCCCCCCCCCCCCGTGGATGTCTAATGGTTATGCTTCTTGATTGCAGATCCAAGTGTCGCAGGATCAAATCCCAAACAACACGGCCACATTTTCGTTGGAGGCGAAAGTGCTTGAAGCCGCCGTGCACTTAAATTTCGGTGCTCATAAAGTGGTTTAAGTTTTTGGAGCCCCCTCAATATGGCGCCCCTCGACCATACCGTGGTTTTGGAACGTTAAGCCCCCAAATTATAAATATTCTGCCACACATGGTTCGATATATATGAGTTTGACACCTTCTCCGCCATCGTTCCGTATCCTTTCAGGCGTCATGTTCTCTTCTCCCAACTCCTTTTGCTCTTCGGAGCATCTCTCCGGCGAGGGCAGGGGGGGTTCATCGTTCGGCGGTGGCGGCAGTGGCTCACCGTGAAATATGGCGCCACGCGCTCGAGAGAAAGGTGGCCGTACATATATATATATGCATGCAGCAGCTGCCGCAGCGGTATGCAGGTGACGCGAGGGTGTGCATGCGCACGTCATGGGCGCGCGTCCCTGCAGAAGCTCCACGCGCCTCAAGGGGTCAACCGGGCGTCGATTCTCGCACCAGCCGCTGTCGGCCGCGGCAGCGAGGGTCAGTCAGCTCGGCACGCCGTTGAGCCCGCTCATACAACGAACCTCCGTCGCTGCGTGCGCAGCCATCCATTCTTTTTTGCCGGAGCCTCCCGCTGCGGGGCGCGACAGGCGGAAAAGCTTGTTTCCTTTTTCAGACGGCGCACGCAGAATCGGTGTGGCCGTGTCGCCTCCTTTCGCGACTGTATACACTCCGTCTGCCGAGTGTTTAATTTGGGGTGAGCTACGGCGTTGAGAACTCCCCAGGGTTTCTTATGCTATCGCTCAAGAAAACTTGAAGGTGGAAGCCAGCTTTTTTTAAAGACTATGTATAAAGTCTGTCTTGGGTTACAACGCAAAAATTTTTGTCTGTCTGTTTTTCTGATGTTCTTTCAGTCGCACGATTCGGCCAAGACACCTGCTCAACGCCCAGCCATCTTGATCTGCTTGCTGCGTTCATATTCGCGAACAGTGCTAATCATGAAACAAGTATTACGCATATTTTAGGATAAATATGCATGCGTAACTATTATGTAGTGTCTTTCGTTATTTATAAAATGTACAGATATGTAATTCTAAAAAAAAACAAAAAAAAACACAGTGCCTATTACGCTGGGCTGACGATGTGACGGGGCTTTAGCTAAAATGACACTGTACTGTCACTTACCTGCGGCTCTGTGTTCTAAAAAAGAACTTCCGTTTCTTAAAATTGATTGATACGTGGGGTTTAACGTCCCAAAACCACCATATGATTGTGAGAGAGGCCGTAGTGGAGGGCTTCGGAAATTTCGACCACCTGGGGTTCTTTAACGTGCGCCCAAATCCGAGCACATGGGCCTACAACATTTCCGCCTCCATCGGAAATGCAGCCGCCCCAGCCGGGATTTGAACCCGCGACCTGTGGGTCAGCAGCCGAGTACCTTAGCCACTATAGACCACCGCGGCGGGGCCTGTTTCTTGATATT